GGGAGCGGCCGCTGCACTCCAGTCTGGGTGACAGAGTGAGACTCCAACTCAAAAAATAAATAAATAAAATAAAATAAATAAATAAAATAAATCAAAAAATTAGCTGGGCATGGTGGTAGTTCTGGTTACTCAGGAAGCTGAGGCAGAAGGATCACCTGAGCCTAGCAGGTCGAGGCTGCGGTGGCCATGAGCATGCCACTGCACTCCAACCTGGGCAACAGAGACTCCACCTCAAAAAGCAAAAACACACACAACCAGGCAGGCTCGGTGGCTCAGCCTGTAATCCCGTGCTTTGGGAGGCTGAGGTGAGTGAATTGCCTGAGCCCGTGGGTTTGAGACCTGCCTGGGAACTTGGCAAGACCTCATCTCTACAAAAAAAAAATAAAAAACCAGCCGGACTTGGTAGCGCGTGCCTGTAATTCCAGCTACTCAGAAGGCTGAGGCGGAAGGATCGCCGGAGCCCAGCAGGTTGAGGCTGTGGTGGCTGGGAGTGGCCACTGCACTTCAGTCTGGGCGACAGAGTGAGACTCCAACTAAAAAAAAAAAAAAGCAAAAACACAGACAAACACAAAACAACCAAGCAGCCTTCCTGAGCTCCAGCCACCATAGGCCTGTTCTTGGTTCACCTCAGTGTGATAACCCTGAACGTCTCCCGATATGCCAAGTGCCCCTGGGGGATGAAATCACGTTGGGAGGCCAAGGTGGGAGGATTCAAGCCACCTGCTGAGAAGCCCTGGCCTTGGCTGTGGAGGGCAGGGTGTGTGACCCACGCTCCACCACTCCCTGCAGGCCCAGCGCAGGGCCCAGCCCAGACCCCGAGGATGAATCCAGGTCTCAAATCCATGCCTCTAGGTCTTGAATGAGAAAAGGCGCACCTGGGTCCTCCTGTGCTCTCTCGGCAGGCCCTGGTCAGGGCAGGCCAGCCTCTTCCTCCAGGATGGCGTCCCGACTGGGCCCTGCTGGGGGCCGTGCTTACCTGGATCCAGCGGTCATTGCGGTTCTCGTCCTGCGGGCAGATGGTCAGCTGGCAGCCCGCCTTCCTGGCCAGCTCTGCCACCGCGTCCACAAAACACGTGTTGTTCCTCACGCTGCGGACAGGTCCGGGGAGAGTGGCTCAGGACAGAGCCCAAGCCCTGGGGGCCAGAGGCCACCCGGGCGAGGACGCCCAGCACCCCCAGACTCACCGGCACACATACACCTCCAGGGGAGGCAGGGTGCTGGGTGTCATGATCCAGGGTGCCACGCGGAACACCACGGTGTCGGTAAAGATCGGGGATTCGGAGAAGTCCTGCAGGGGCGGACCGGGAGAGAGCACTGGACTTCAACCCCGAGGCCAGGTGGAAGCTCTGAACCCACCACTGTGGTCCTTGAGCAAACTCCTGGCTTCCCTGCCAGGTGGGATGAGCCAGCAGGTAGTCGAGAGGTCCAGGGTCCTTCACAGCAGCAGTGCCCGCCCACGTCTACCAGGAGTGGAGCCTCATTTCTCTTTTTTAATTTGAGCCAAGGTCTCACTCTGTCATCCAGGCTGGAGGGCAGTGGCATGATACCGGCCACCGCAGCCTCGACCTCCTAGGTTCACGGGATCCTTCTGCCTCAGCCTCCCAGGTAGCTGGGGACACAGGCATGCACCACCATGCCTGGCTAATTTTTAAAAACATTTTTGTCTCACTATGTTGCCCAGGCTGATCTCCAGTCCCTGGGCTCAGGCAGACCTCCCGCCTCGGCCTCCCAAAGTACTGGGATCACAGGCGTGAGCCACCAGGCCCAGCCGGCGAGCCCTCTCTGAGCCCTCTCTGCCCCTACCTCATTGGAGTCGTCCAGCAGGGTGACGTGGAAAGAGATAAGCCCCGTGAAGCCGGCATCAGGGAAGGAGAGGCCTTCCACGAAGAAGCGCTCCTCGTCCCCATGGAAGCGGGGAACCTCATAGGATACCTTGTCGTGGCCCAGCACGTGTCTGTAGGCCTCACATGAGTCCTCGGGGCCTGGGAGGGGAGGAGAGAGGTGCCCGTGACTTCCAGTGGGCCTGGAGAACAGGAGGGACACAGAAATTGCTCCACAGCCTGGCCAAAAACTGTGGAAATTGTCCTGCTGTTGCCTCCACTGGTATGGGTGTGAAGGGTGGTTGACACCCAGCGTGGTCACAGCAGGGGGAGGACGTTCCTTCCTAAGACCAACGCACGGTTCTACCGTCATATGTACTCCTAACCCAGCACTTCCATGACTCGGTATCTTTCTTACAAAATTTCATGTGCAAATTCACTTATCGGTACAAGGGGCTCACGGGTTCATTCATTCAACAAATGTTTCCTAAGCGCTGACAGCACACCCACAAGACACACTTCTGGACCGAGACACAGCCGCGAGTGAGGCCCCTGCCCTCAAGGAGCCCGGGTTGTGACAAAATCAAAGCACCGCAAACCCATCTTGGGTTCAGAGATCCAGATAACTTCCAGCACCTCCAGGCTTCGGAATATTATGCAGCCGTGGAAAAGGATGAAGCAGAGCTCAAGAAATCAGAGGAAGTGCAGAATGTTCTACTCTATGAAGGAAGCTGGCTGAGGGGCAGAATAAACCACAAACGCATGCTTGAGGGTGCGTGGGACAAAGCCGGGAAGAACACACACCGCGCAGTGAACGGTGAACAGGTGCCAAGAGTCAGATTGGGGCGGGGCAGAGAGTGTTCATGGTTCACTTTCTGCACCTCGGTATTGTCTAACATTTAAAACATGAGCATTTTAGACTTGTAGACGTTTTTTATGTATCAAGGGCATTCAGTTCTTGCTTGCATTTGCTGTGATTACAGCATCATGACAATCTCAACCAGTCGCCATGTTTTTTGGAGGGAGGTGATGTAAACTGCATTACGTAGGGGTCAGGTCTGTGGTGCCGGGGCCTGGCTTTGCAACGTGGCACACAAGGGGGGAGACGTGAAGAATGACTGAATCTGCGTGATGGGCATATGGGGTTCAACACGCTGTTCTTTTTTGTGTATACTTGAACTTGTTGATTGTGAGAATTTCTAAACATGCTTAAAATATGGTTTTGGGGGGGATGGGTGGCTCTCACTCTATCGCCCAGGCTGGAGTGTGGGGGCACGATTGTGGCTCACTGCAGCCTAGACTTCCTGTGGCTCAGGTAATCCTCCCGCTTCAGCTTCCCGAGTAGCTGGGACTACAGCTAGCCACCACGCCTAGCTAATTTTTTTATTTTTATTTTGTAGAGATGGGGTTTTGCTATATTGCCCAGACTGGTCTTGAACTCCTGGACTCAAGCGATCCTTCCACCCCAGCCTCCCAAAATACCAGGATTACAGATGTGAGCCACTGTACCTGGCCTGAAAATATGTTTTTAAAATTCATTCATCTAGCTGGGCAAGGTGTAATCCCAGCAATTCAGGAGACCAAAGTGAGAGGATTGTCTGAGTCTGGGGGTTCGAGACCAGCCTGGGCGATTTGGTGAGCCCTTAACTCTACAATAAATCACAAAAACTAGCCGGGTGTGGTAGTTTGCATTTGTAGTTCCAGCTACTTGGAAGGCTGAGGCGGAAGCATCACCTAAGCCCAGCAGGTTGAGACTGCAGTGGTCATGAGCATGCCACTGCACTCCAGCCTGGGCGACAAGAGTGTGACTCCAACTAAAAAAAAAAAAAAATTAAATAGGGCAGGCTCAGTGGTTCAGCCTGTACTCCTAGCACTTTGGGAGGCCGAGGCAAGTGGATTGCCTGAGCCTGCAGGTTCGAGACCAGCCTAGGCAACTTGGTGAGACCTCATCTCTACAAC